AGTTTCAGTGGGTCTCTCTCTTGTGTTCCCGTAATCTTTTGCTCTCACCTTAATGACAGGGTTTTCCCCATTGCATTACTTGTTTTTGTAACTGGCCTGTAACTGTATGTTCATTCAACAGAACGGTCCTTTGCACCTGCACGTGAGCTGGGTGTAGGGGTGGTGCCCTGACAATGGCAGTGCCCTGACAGTTGTGCGCTGAGGTGCGGGCTCTATCCTGGAGTCAGGAGCTGCCTGCAGCAGGGAAAGTACGTGCTTGCCGGGCCGCAGAGTGCCTGCTTTCAAATTCTGGTGCTCCCTCTAGACCCTGGCTCTGCTATTGTCTGACTTCAGGAGCCAAGGCATGTCACCTCTTTGAACCTCGGTTTCTTCACCTGTGGATTGTGGTTAGTAATGATACGTGGTAGGGCTCGTTCAAAGATCGAAGGAACTGGTGTGTGTAAAGTGCTCAGCACGGTGCCTGGCACATTACAAATGCCAGCTGTAGTTGTTGTTACTGATTACTTCTGGTGGTCGGTGCCTCGCCTTTCTTTTGGAACTCTGTTACAACATTGCATGAAAATGTGTGTTTAGACCTGTCTATGAATCTACCATAAAGTAAGGATATGTGGGAGAATCTTAAGACTCATCAAGCTTAGAATTGAAGGTGAAGGGCCATTATTATTATCTGAATGTATCAAATTAAGAGTGATGGCCTTGGGATCCGAAGCAAAATGCTTGAAAGCATTTTCTTCATGTCTTCACAAGAAAGAAAATAGCTCTCTAAGGAGGTGGTGAGAAGTAACACAGGCCCTGGATGGAGGCACGGCCTGTGGGGGCGGCAGGGAGACTGGAGGGACATCCTGTGAGACTGGCAGAACGACTGAGGGAGGGAGGGGTGAGGCCACTGTTTCCCGAGGGTGGGCGGACAAAGCCCCCAGATGTGCTGGTGCTCCCACGAGGCAGCGCCCTAATTCTGTAGCTCATTTCAGAGTAGATTGGACAGCGTAGTACATTTAAGTGCATTCTTTTTTCCCCAGTGTTAATGGATTTCCTGATAAGTAGGAAATGTGTCAAATACTGAAGAAAAAAAATCCCTAACAACATAAAAATTATTTCTGATTTCGTATATTACCTTTTAGTCTATGTTCACGTGTGATGGTTTTATATAATTGCATGCCATTTTATAGTCTGTTTTTAAAACTTAATTCTCTCATAACATTTTTGGTACTTACAATCGCTCTTGATCATAATTTTAAAAACCACATAACATTCCATAATATACATTTTTTGCTCCTTTATTCTTTGGGGCATATTTCAAGAAATCAAATTATTATTTCAATTTCATCATTTATGAGAGGACTTCAGAAAATTTGTGGAAAAAATGGAATTAAAAGATAAAAATAAAACATAAACTTCATTTTTCAACATAAGCTCCATCAAGTTCAAGACAGTTTACTGAGCAATGATACGAGCCAGTTAGTCCAACCTTAAAGAACTGACGGTCCTGGGGAATTTAGCCCTGTCAATGCAGTCTTTTTTTATGTTATTAACTGAAGAAAAATGGGTGCCCTTTCAAGGTTTTTTACATTAGGAAACAAAAAGAAGTCAGAAGGAGCCAAATCGGATCTGTAAGGCCAATGCCTGATGAAGCCCTCACAGAATTGCCCTGTTCACTGGGAGGAGTGAGCGGGAACATTGTGGTTGTGGAGGAGGACTCTCTGGGGAAGCTTTCCCAGGCATTTTTCTGCTACAGCTTTGGCTAACTTTCTTAAAACACTTCAATAATAAGCAGATGTTATCGTTCTTTAGCACTCCAAAAAGTCAGCCAGTAAACTGCCATAGCATCCCACAAATTTGTTGCCGTGACCTTTGCTCTTGACTGGTCCAGTCTTGCTTTGACTGGACCACTCCCACCTCTTGGTAGCCATGGCTTTGATTGTGCTTTGTCTTCAGGATCTTACTGGTAAAACCAAGAAATGCTTCAGGATCTTGATCCCACCTGTTTAAAATATCTGTTGAAATCTCTGTTCCTTTCTGCAGCTTATCTGGACACAACAGTTTTGGCACCACCCATTGAGCAGAAAGTTTGCTCAGCTTTAATATTTCGGTCCAAATCGTCTAAGCTGAACCAATTGGATGTCTGTGGTGTTTGCTGTTGTTTCTGTTCTCTTCAATTAGGGCACAAACAAGATTGTTTCCTCACTAATTGATGTGGATTGTCTGCGGCTGCCGGCTTCATCTTCAACATTGTCTTGTTCCTTCTTAAATTATCCGTTTGTAAACTGCTGACTTCTTTGGGACATTGTTCCCATAAACTTTTCATAAAGCATCAGTGATTTCACCATTCTTCCACCTATGATTCACCATAAATTTGATGTTTGTTCTGGTTTCAAAATTCACGTTGCTCTGATAGGGGCTCTTTTCAAACTGATGTCTTATCTTTTTTAGTGCCTCCAGCTAGATTCTGTTCGGACATGTTATAACAA